TTTGTTCAGTGCCAGGGGGTAACTGCTTCTGTTTACTGTACGTGCCGACTGACAAATCATGACAAATAGCACGTACACAGAAAACAATGGAGATGGCCATGATTTCTGTATAGTATTCTGAGTCGTGAGGTTTCATGGTTTTGATGGCATCCAACATGTAAGCACTACGTACCTATTTTTTAGAACATTGCGATGGTATTTACTGTTTTACCAACCGCTAAGGCCAGTGTGAACGCCTGAGCAGGCGTCTTGTTGGTACTAAATTGTTTGCGTCAAATTCTAATAAAAATTGCCAACACACATTTGCACATTTTTTAATATCGGCACAACAAGTGTAATATCCTTTTTTCTTAAAATTAAATCGACGGGGAAAATTTTTACTATTGATTTTTGAAAGTTTAAATTTTCTAAGAAACGTATCGATATAATTTTTTTTAAATTGAGGGAAAAAAATCATTAACGTGTATTATCTTTTTTGCAAAGTATCAGGGTATTTCCAGTTGTTTGGTGGATTTTATAAAATTCACCATCATATTTTGCACTGGTAACCATGGAAACCGCATCTGTTCTTTCAAAATAACCCTATGAAACGGCTTTACATACTGGTTTTTATTGTTGTCTTGTAAAAAGTGCGCATCTTTACAATAAGGACTGTTAAGTAGATACAATTACATTGCTTGGTTACCAAGTCAAAATTCAATTTGAAAGAGAAAGCTAGAAAACAAATTTGTTAGAGTTGCATATTTGGTTAGAAATGCCTAATAAAATAAATTGATTTGATTGAAAGAAAAGAAACGAAAGTTTCACGGAAACAGCCATGTCAAAGTCGAAGAATTACCTGATTCTGAAGCGTCTAAAAACAAGAAAATTGCTGAAACAAGTACGTCAAATTTGACTACAGCTTTAGATGAAGTGACATAATCGAGCGCTTCGGAATTTAGGTCATTGCCTGCCTCAAAAAGGAAACTTAACTGTGATTTATCAAGTGTGGATGAAGAAGACTGTACTGATGGATTTCGAATTATAGATATATCGATTTTTATGTCCATTTTCAACAACTTTATATGCCCTAAATGTAAGTCGGGTCACATTGTTAAGAAGGAAGACATATAACTGCAAGGATGGGACTTGTGACACAACTTTCGCTGAAATGTTTTCCGAAATATGTTTATATTCTATGAATTTTTATACATCAAGTCGGGTGAGCAATATATCTAAAGTCTTTGAAGCAAATAGAAGGGCTGTGTGAGTGAGAAACATTGGAGTTGGTCACCAAGGGCTTGTGAAGTTTTATGGTGCAATGAACATGTTGGCACCTATGAATATAAATTCATACACCAACCATGTGACAGCTATTCATGGAACTGCTGAAGTTGTTGCCAAGGCAAGCATGAAAAGTGCAGCTGAGGAGACAAAGCAGTTTTATGAACCAGAAGAAGATGGTGGGCATGATATTGGTATTACTGCGGACGAGACCTGGAGACAAAGGGGATATTCATCTTCCTACGGGGTCGTTACTGGCATGTCGTTGATTACCGAGAAAGTGCTAGACGTTGAAACCATGTCGAAAGAATGCTGGGAGTGTATTACTTGGAGCAGCAAGAAAGGTTCAGAGGAATTTGAACATTGGTGGGAAGGTCATCAACAAATTTGCTCAAACCGGGGTGTCAGACAAAGAAGTGTCGCAAGAAAATAGACTATCACTGTATCCGCCATTCCTCACGAAAAAGCTCCGACAAGCATAAAAATTAAAGAAAACAGATAAGACAAAGAAAAAAGGCTATATTGACAACCTGTCAGAAGAGGAAGTTACCCAATATGAAGCTAGGGTATTTTGAGCTCTAAACTTGAACTGATTAGTTATACCAAACTTTGCGGCAGATTTTCTCAATTTGTCATTCCCGTGGCTTTTTTTAATTAGTTTTTGCGATTTTTGAAAAACTATAAGTGACTTTGACCTGAAATTTTCACTGGGTATTCATGCGCCTATTAATTATGCAAGGAACTAGGATTTTTGAGTTTGACTAACCAAACATAAGTTCTAGACATTTTGGTCAATGAACTTAGGATGTTTTGCTTTACCATTATTCGGAATGCAAAATTTTTATAAATACCTCGTCATATCCCGCTGTTCTAGTTCCTTGCATAGCCCAAGAGGTGGTTATAATATCTTAAAAGTTTTAGAACCATACCTGTTATATATTTGCCAATATCGAGTTTCTTGCGATGCCTTAATTTTCAATGACGGAAAAGTAGGCTGTAGTAGTAAGGGTGCTACTCTCGTGCAATTAAATAAATATTCACCAATTTTTTTTTGGTTAATGTCCTAAATGGGCTACTTCTGCCCTTCCCCCCCAAAAATAATATTCCACAAATTCTGTAGCAATGAAACAAGTTATCAAAATGGTCGATTTTTCCTATCGAGCCACCTTAACACAAAAGTAGCAAATTGCAATGTCCAGGAGAGTATTGTCAATGTGCCCAAATCAATTTCGTTGTCATGTCATGTAAAGTTTAAGAAACAGCAGTCTCCTGAATACTATAGTGCAGTAAATTCAAAAACCCTAGGGAGCTATCTTAAACACTTACAGTAGCATACATAATAAATGCAAATTCCTGCAAATAACACGTAGCATTTTACATGCAAACATTTGTAACCACGAGGCCTTAGAAATAAAAAAAACCATTCAGGACACTTAATGAACGGCTGTAGTGGGAGCACAATTAGCATATAGTTTTAATTATGTGATTTTATCAACAATACGTATATTTTCAGCATTTTAAATTAGATAAACACTTGTATATATGTATAGGACGATATATTACTGTAAATCATCTCCACTGAAACGAAACGTATGGAAAATAAATATATAAATTTATGTCTGAAGAAGCACTAGGCCTACAACAAAAGTTCATATCATGGTTTGATGTCCCACATTCGTGAAGCATCAAAGGTAACTATTAGTACTAGTTACCTTCATCCTGCTCATCAGCAGGATGATAGAGTGATCAATGATAGAGTGCTCAATGGTCATCACAATGATAGAGTGCTCAATGGATAACCAGAGCATAATAGAAAGACACAAAAACTTAGCAAGCTTTGTTTGGCATATTTATTACTATACAGTTTCGTACCACGTAAATAACGTGGCACTCTTCAGATAAAATAGCCTATGTTTGACCTATAGCTTAACAAACTTTTTAAATATGTACAGATGGTATAAAGGACGCTTATCTAATTACAAATCAATTAACACCTCAAGTAGTGTCACGAAAATATTAGTATCAAGTTATAAAGTTTTTAAGTAGAAATTTATTAGCGTGTCTACATGTGGAGACAAGTTCGTTGCGACAATTAAGTGTTGCAATGTCCGGTTTACAAATAATGAAATACTTCTCCCAGATACACAAGTTACATCTCTTGGATGCATTACTGTAAGATTTAGCGCGTTTTAAAATTTTCCATCTGATAGAGTAACTAATATTATTGTTCTTAAGATTCCAGATGTATTTACTTAATTCAGTAGAATTGCGCTTCTCATAGTTATTAAATGAAGCTTTGTGATTGGTGTATCGAGTTTTGAATTCTTTTTCTGTTAGTCCAACATATGTTTGAGTGGGCCGCTATATATATATATATAGACAAGTATCTTTTTATACATATAGACAAGTATTTTATTTTATTTTTTTTGAAAGGGCAATTTGTTTTTACTTAACGTGTACTCAATTTACTAGAATAAAAGTTTATAAACGTATAGCGGGCACAATATTTCTTCTGTATTTGGAGGATTTTTGTTGGAATTAATTTAACAGCTCAACGAGGAACAGTCACTGCATGTGTTTTTGCTATAAATGTGTAGAATCATATCTCAAACCATCCGAATAACATTTCCCAATAAATTTATAGAACTTATTGAATTAGAATTTATTGCGAGATAATTAACATCAATCGCCTGATGATCGTTATACGCTGTACGTGAAACACTGTGTAGCGATGAACTAAAATTTTAAGATTCAAATTTGTTGTTTTTGTTTTTGTATTTGCTTTTTGTATTTTTCTGCTTGCGCTGGGTATGGAAATTATATAATACACACTCTAGAACATTTTCATCTTAACATATTATGGAGTGTACAATTACACAACTTAACATAACACTTGCAGAACTGGTATTGTTCGATGCTGAATTAATATAAACGAGTATGTTTATGACATTCAGTATATATTTCATAGTTTCCAGTCTTAAATCCTTCTGACCGTGTAGCTCAGTTGGTAGAGCGTCGATCTAGTAATTCGAAGGTCGCGGGTTCAAGACCCAGCCGCGGCAGACAACATCTTTCTGCTTGCGCTGGGTATGGAAATATATAATACACACTCTAGAACATTTTCATCTTAACATATTACAGAGTGTAGAATTACACAACTATATACTTTATATATATATATATATATATATATATATATATATATATATATATATATATATATATATATATATATATATATATATATATTTAAAAAACTCATTAATAATTCATGAAGAAAACACAAAGAAAAATCATAAGCGTGTCGTATCTGTATATGTGATACAGATTCATGTTGATTTACATAAACTTTAACTTTGATTTTCTCGGCTTTGACAACGTTTATTTTTAAAGTTACTTCGCCAATGAACTCATAAGATGAGTCGTTTTTTAAGCCATTTACAACATTCGCGTCCGTGTTGTATCGGATATACACACTCTCGCCTTCGGCTCGGGTATCCGATACAACATATCCGGATCCGATACAACACGGCCGCTCATATTGTAAATAGTATATATATATATAGATATATATATATATATATATATATATATATATATATATATATATATATATATATATATATATATATATATATATATATATATATATATATATCCAAAACTATCATATATATATAATTACCGATCGTCAGACAGCAATGAATTATGGTGCACACGAGCTTTATATACTAAGCTACCGTGCTAATTACAAAAGTTCAGTCTAAATAAAACCTATTGGGACCTATGCGAGTGTTCAACTAAACTGATTTAAAGTTTAAAACTTAGTAAATTAATTCAGTCAAAACCTACTTAAAGTCTATACGTAGTTGTTAAAACCTCTCGAGCAAATGATTTATGTTATCTTGTTCTTATAATTTTGTATGTAAAATTTGTTTTCATGTCCACACTTGCAGATAAGTTCGTCTCGTGTGTTCAAGAGGCGTGCGTTTCGTCCTTTCAAGATGGCTAGCTTTTGACAGAGGCATAATCCGCATTTGTTGGATCCGTTGTTGTAAGCCTTTGCTGTATCAATGCTTGACCAACAGATTTTGTGTTCTTTTCCTTCGTTCTTTAGACTCCACACATACTTTGACAGTGATGTTTTGTTGCTGTAATTGATGTTGTTGGTCTTGTGTTGAGTAAAGCGTTTTTGAATGTTCCCTCAGTTAGACAGATATAATATCTCTCCCTTGAGGGTCGTCATTCGTGGTTATATAGGCTTTATACACGACGTTTGTGACGAGACATTTGTTTTGAAGTGGACATTGTTCTTTTGTATTGCAATTGCAGTTCTCGTGCGTGTTCTTGTTTCGCGGGTTAAGTATCCTATTGTTGTGGGATTTAATTATGTTAGCCATGTTCTGGGTGCAGGAATAGCTCAC